CTCAACATCCCGCCTCACCTCCCTGATCTCAAAGCTCAGAGGTAACTAAGTTCTGGAACCATTTTTTCCTTCCATCTTTATTCCCTCCTGTCAGGAACACCCTGGGGTCTCTCTCCAGAAGATCTTTCCCTCCTCAACTCCAGGGTCGTAAAACCAACTGTCAGCCCAACAGCTCTCTTCCAATAGATATCTCAGTTCCAAAACTGAGCTCTTCTCCCCGCCGCCCACCAACTTGTTTCTCTTCCAGTCTTTCCCATCCCAATAAACAGAAACTACATCTATCTAGGAAGTCAGTGCAAAACCCTGGGAGTCGACTTTAACTCTTTCCTTTCTTTCACAGAACATACCTAACGTAACAAAACTTGTTAACTCTACTGGAAAAATATATCTAGAACAAACTATGTGTCACCACTGTCCCTGCTATCCTCTAGCGTACACTATGGTCTCCTCTCACTTTCACAGTGATGCCTCATGTGTGATCCACCTGCTTTGCTCTGCCCAACTGATTACCACTCTATTGTCAACACAGCAGTCTGAGGAGCAATCACATCACCTACTGCCCAAGTTCTTCAAGACTTCCCCTTTCCTTCAGCGTCAGACTAAAGGTCCTAGGAAGAACAGGCAGCCTGAGCACCACCAGGAAGCTTCTGGGAAACGAGCCCCACCTCAGGACAGCAAATCTGAATTTCCAAGGCAGCCCATGTGAGAAAAAGGCCCAGAAGGCGCCACAGGAAAAGCACCCTCAGGTAGTCCTCCATCTTGGGACTTGGTGCTGGCCACTACGGCGGGGGTGCTCCCCACCACATTCAAGCCTTTACTCAAGTGACACCCTTTCTGTGAGGTCATCTGTGACTACTCAGTCCCCTCAATAGAAGCTACTCCTGCTTTCCTGTTTTCAAGTTACTCATTACAATTTGTCATCAGAGGCTAAAACACTGCCAAAGTGTACCTATAATCCCAGCTATCAGAGAGGCTGAGGCAGGAGAAGAACACAAGTTCAAGGGCAGTCTGGGCAATTCAGTGAAACAGCAGCTCCAAAAACCATAAAAGTTTAAGACTGCAATTTTTCATTGTGCCTGCCTCATAAGCTCAAGGTCCTGAGTTTTTGAGCCAGGCACCGTGCCACTGAGCTAAATCCCCGGTCCTAAACATTGCATATTTTGGGTTGTTTGGGG